GTTGCTCCGCTCAAAGCCTCCTTCGATTGAATTTCAACTTTAACTGCAAGTCATATGTATTTAATATTTAAGAACTCAACTTATTCCTGACTTTTTTCAACTGAAAAATATTGAAGTGTTTATGGGCTGTGAATGAGTATTATGCAGTCGGTATTACCCTACTGAAACATTCTTATTGATGGTATCATCTTGAAAAGCTTCAAAGCTGACATTTACAGCTATAACGATGGAAATCAGCCTAGTACGCATCACAATGGCTCGCATTGTCAATTAGATTTAATAGATTTTCCGTGCTTTCGTATGGAAAGCTATTCAAGTTTCGCTTATATGCGCATAATTCGACAGATTTGCTTATAATTGCTGCAAATGGATGTTGCAACTCGTTGTGTGAAGTCGTCTCTGTAATTGTGTTTGCTTCAGCAACATGTTGATCCTCACAAAAAGAGTGAGAGAGAGAGAGAAAAGCACATAAAGATGCGTTCACCACGCCCCAAAGCACAACTTGCAACAGACGAGCACAACTACCTGTTGGGCAGCCTCTTTCACAACAACAGCAACAACAACAGCAACAACAACAACAACCAAATGTGCCAATTAGTTTTGCGTTCCCTGTTTGCGTGTGTTGCATTGTTATTGCCCCTCAGCCGATTAATGACCCAAATTCGCAGCCGCACTGACCACAGACACTTTTGACCACTTCGCACTGTGTGTCATCATCGTCATAATTATTATTTACCATCATTATCATCTGGCGTTTCTTCATTACGAGCAGCGCGAGCTGTTTACTTTTCGATGTTTACTATTTCGCTTTGGCCGCTTTGGACCAACGTCTTTCGCATAACACTTTCCATTACATTTTCGGCTCACGTACACCTCAGCGTTATTTCTTCTTCTTCTTCTGCTTTTACTACTACAACTGCTTGGTTTTTTTTTCGTTTCGTTTTGGCTAAGCCACGCCTCGTCCCGCCCCCGTTCGCCCTCGACTGCCGGCCAGAGGATGACTTGGCATTTCGTTTAAATCAAAGCAAATATTTACTTTGGGTCTTGGGCGGTTGTCTAAAGGGCATTATATAAGAAGCGCCCTGGGTGGTTTACGACCAGCATAGCTTTACGCTATTTAACGTGCGCTGAGCCCACAAATACCCTGTAATTGTTTTTTTAAAGTGAAGAAGTGACTGAAGGGGCAATCTGGCAAGTCGGTTGGCTCCATTTTAAATTCTTGGAGAGCCTTGAGACTTATTGCCTGGCTTGCTGAGACTCTGTAGCACATCTGATTGCTTACGAGGCCAACGGCGGGGTGTCGGCTAGTCAGGCATACCCTGTGGCATAGCATTCTTTTTATGAACGTCAGCGAATTGCAAATTGTAAATTATTTATTAGGCAACGAGAGTGTCAGGCCAAAAATTAGCGCTGCCTCTTGCAATTGAAATGGTTAATCAATTGGGCCATGCCCGAGCGTATTGATTGAGCGCATTAGCTAATCGCAGCTAGCTCGGCGAAGTCAACTAACCGACATAACTGCCTGTTTTTAACTATTGTCGGTGTCGTTTCCCCGGCTGACACCTATGAAATAAAACGTGAGCGCTGCCAAAAGTGTCATCAAAGCGTTAGTTTTACTATCGTAACCTTGGCACAAATTGTTACCAATAGGTGTGAAAGAGATAGCCGAGAGAGGGAGAGAGTGACAGAGTGAGAGCGAGACAAAGGCGGGCGCTTGCGAGCAGGAAATACTTGATAGCCACACCCCAGCGGCGGGCGCGCGCGGCTAGTCACGGAAATCGTTTTATGATTCGTTTTGATTGCCAGTCAAGCTTGAGTAATTTGACATTTGGCCAGGGCAGGCCAGGCCAGGCCAGGCTTTTAATTTTCAGCCAAATGGCGGAAGCCAAAACCGTTAAAATGGCCAACGTCTCGTATACGTGACAGCTGCGAGCAATGCACACTGCATCAGCTTGCAGCGGGTGTGCGGCTGTGCTGCAAGCTGCACTCGACTGGGTTCCTGCACTAGCTTAAGTAAACCAACAGCAGCATACGTTCGGGTGAGAATCGTAAATTATAATTAAAGCAGCCGAGGCAGTTCATTAAGTGAATTATCATGATAGAGGAGTTTTTGTTTAAGAAAAATATTTAGAAATATGCGTTTTACTATGGCTGAGTAGCTGCGGGAGCTGCTGCATAAAAAGTGTTGCATACTTTTGAGCGCAACGAAAATTTATATTGGGAATAAAGGTATTAAATTAAAACTAAATAAACATGTAAAGTGAGTGCTATCTGCATTGAAAAGTACTACTAAATAATGGAGTTGTATTGCCATTGCCAAGCAGGCTACTCATTATCTCACTGCAATGCGGAAATATGTATATAAAACGGGCGAAACATGCGTTCAATAAAAAGCGTTGCATACTTATGAGCGCAGAGTAATAATACTGGTTTTTAAGCTCCAGCTAAACAAGAGATACGAAATATAAACATAATTAAATAGTTTAAAACTCATGAAAATATTTTATTTACGACTTTGACAGCTTAGTTTATGCACCGCTTTGTGCCTTGCTCCGCGTACAATTTGCAGCAGCTGCTGCGTTGGTTAACAAAAAACTGTTGCATACTCTCAGGCGGCGGCATAAAAAGTAAATGCAAAACTCAATTTGAAGAAGAAAAGTGTTTATTCGTTTCGAAGTGGAATAATTATAATAATAATAATAGTAAAAAAAAAAAAACATATAGTGATATATGCATTAGCATTTAGTAATATCATAAAGCAATAAATACAAATAGTTATATAAATATTAAGCAGACAAATAATATAAAATAATTGCAATAATCAAATAACACTTAACACTTAACTAAACAAGATGTTGTTTTGCAACAACTGCAACAATAAAAAAAAAAAGACAAATAGTTTATAGATTAATAATAATTAATTACACACATAGTTGACTAGTTGATTAAATTAACAGTAGACATCGAGTGCTGCTAGCCGGCTGCTGGTACACGCCGTGCGCCCCAATCCTCTTTGATCATGTCCGATGCCTTCTCGCCGATCGCAATGACCGGCGCATTCGGATTGCCATTGACAATGGTCGGCATGATGCTCGCATCGACAACACGCAGCCCCGAGACGCCATAGACGCGCAGGCGGGGATCCACAACGGCAGTCACATCCCAGCTGGGACCCATGCGACAAGTGCCCGACGGATGGTAAATGGTGAATGTGAACTGCTTAATGCAGCAGGCCCAATACGCGTCCGATTGGAACTTCAGATGGCGGCAGCCGGGCAACGGTATGTTGTGCAGCCGTGAGCCGAATCGCTGGAAGGCCTGCGTATTGGACACATTGATGGCCAGCTTGATGCCCTCGACCAGCACATTGATGTCCTGCTGGTGTGCAAAGTAGTTGGGTATCAGCTTGGGCGGCTGCTGCGGATTGCGCGAGTTCAAGCGCACCCAGCCGCTGCTCTTGGGCCGCAGCAGGAGCGGCAGTATGGACCAGGTCTCGCTGTGCTGAAGCGGCTTGTAGACGGTGTTGTAGAAGCCATCCCTTAGATTCAATATCTTGCGTATCTGCTCGCCGCCATCGGAGTTAATGGAGCTGGGCAGGAAGTGAAACTGTACGTCTGGCCAGTCGACTGACGGATCCTGGTATTTGGTGTTCAAGAAGGCGACGCCCTCGACGCCCGAGAAGGTCATCGGACCGCGCTCCCTCAGTATGTACTCCATGGAGACGGGTATCGTCTGGAAGCGATTCCGTGTCACGGTCAGCGGTGCATCCACCACAAACGTGAGCCCGCCCAGGCCCACGTGATCCTGCATGTTATTGCCCACCGGCAGATCCGATATAACGGGAATATTATGCTCCTGCAGATGCTCAGCTGGACCGATTCCGCTCAGCATCAACAGCTTTGGCGAGTTTAGAGCTCCGGCACTGAGAATGACCTCGCGTCTGACAAACACCAGCTGCTTGCGTCCCCCCTTAATGTACTCCACGCCGATGGTGCGCTTGTCCTTGTCGATTAGCAGGCGCGTGGCCTCTGCATGGAGCAGCACGTCGAGATTCTTACGGAGCCGCACGGGGCGTATGAAGGCCTTGCCGGTGCTGCAGCGCGCGCCGCGCCGTATGGTGCTCTGGGTGAGCATGAATCCCGTCTGCTTGGCGCCATTTATGTCCCGATTCTCGTAGCCCATCTCGATGCCCGCCTGCAGGAAGGCAATGGAGAGCGGGGTGCGCCAGGGCGCCTCCTGCACCGTCAAATAGCCGCCGGTCTCGTGGTAGGGCGTGGCCGCCAAATACGGATTACGCACATCCTCCGATTTCAAAAAGTACTTGAGCATGGTATTGTAGTCCCAGCCGGGATTGCCCAGCGAAGCCCAGTGGTCGTAGTCGTTCCTCGAGCCGCGCACATAGACCATGGCGTTCAGCACGGAGCTGCCGCCGAGCACCTTGCCGCGTGGCCAGAAGCAGCGGTCGCCCTTCATGGCCTGGCAGTATTGGCGCGTCGACGAGGGCGTCGTCTGGTACTTCCAGTCGAGCTCGGTCAGCTGCAGGTAGCCCGCCAGCGCGGGCACATCCGAGATCTCCGTCTCATCGCCGCCCGCCTCCAGCAGCAGCACCGTCCAATTGCGCACCTCGCTCAAGCGATTGGCCACCACAGCGCCAGCGGAGCCACCGCCAATCACGACGAAATCATATTGGCGACGGATCTGAAAGGATGAGAGATGTGAATATACGGATCAAACATAAGGTGGCGAAATGTCCATGAGTGTTGTGATCTAGGGACGGAGCATATGGAATGGAAAGATCTAGACTAGGCTACTGTCGAGTTCACTTTGGCGAGCTTAACGATTTGCTCACAGTATAAATCATTTCTCTGGTCTAGCTCAACTCACTTTCTGTCTTTCTTGCTTTCTTAA